CGCATGGATTTGATTATTGAATAACACCAGTGGTTTTGGTGAGGCTATTAGGGGAGGCCTCATTATTGGGGCCCCACTGCAGAGTGGGGACCCCGGCACCAGCAAGGGCATGGCTTTTGGGGGCACAGACCACAGCGCCAGCGAAGGCACAGCTCTTTGGGGGTACCTAGGCCCCAGAGCCTGTGGGGGCACAGGATTTTGGGGTGCTCTGACACCAGCACCTGGAAGCATGATCTTGAAAGGCTGGGGAGGCCTGGTGCACCTGAGGTGTGATTTTTGTTTTGTTTTTCTTTGGACAGGAAGAGGGTGAGTTCAGGGCCATCCCCTGGCCTTGAACTTGTGACCCCCTGGCTGTGGGGCCAGTGGCCTTGCCTCAGGGCCAGTGGGGGCTGGGCTTCAGATTGGAGCTTAAGACACTGGAAAAGGCTAGAGCCTCTGAGTCAAACCCTGTTTGGTGGGTTTTAGACAGGGAGGCCTAGCTAGAGAAAGACAGGAGTCAGGCCCGTGTAGGCAAAAGGCCCCAACATACAAAATACAATAGGCAGTCTCCCGCTCGCAAGAACATCAACAATAATTTCCATCAAGACGTGGCAGGAAAGTAGAAGGCAGAACATAAGAACTCCAAAGAAGACTCCAAGGGTGCCCCACGTAAGGCACGGATTACTAGGGAATATGGTGCTGGGGAGGGCAACCTGTTACACCACCTTATCCCCTTCTGCCAGAACGTGTCTTTCTAAGGTGGATGTACTACACTTCCGTCAATAGTGCCTCTTCCTCATGTGCTTCTCAAGGAAAGCATGAATTTGACACAGGATACGCTTTATCTTCTTAGGTACTCAGCTTTCTTAGGTACTCAGCCTTAAAATCCTGTTAAACACATAACTAAGTTTGGGGAGTGTTCCCCAGACCTTCAGGGGTACTCACTGGCTTATGATTGAACTGTTGTGCAAGTGTCTTGTTTGATTGGAGCTAGTGTTCATAACCTGGAAGGACTGAGCCTAATTATGATTGTTCAGAAAGCAGGAGGCTGGGCTTCCGCCCAGCAGCTGAATCCAACCACAGAATCTGAGCATCCAGCTCACCAACCATTCACCAACCACATTTCTCAACCTCAAACAGTAAGAAACCTCAAGACAAAGCTGCCAAATCTCATTCAGAGTTGGAAAGAGACCCGTTTACATGGACTTAATTTTATGATGGTTTTTAGAAGTATTTCATTATTGCAAAAAAAGGACTTTGCAATGTATTTTGCTTAGACTTTCAAAATCACATTTATATAAATTGTCCAGTGAATGACACTTGTGAAAGGTTTTAGTAATAAATAAATACAAATGAATTTAAATGCCTTGATTCCTTTTAACTAATTAAACACAAAACTATAGTACTTGTGAAGAACATAATGTTCCAAAAATCAGAGGAGACCAGCATAATGTATGATCTTGTCTAAGTTAGTTAGATCAATGCCTCAACATACTCATCTGCATAGAAGAAGTGACAAAATGGATTCAATTTAATGTTAGGTTTACTGAACCGATTAATAATGGTTTGGTGATATTTAGGAAAAGAATTATAAATACAAAATATGTTAGTGAGATAATGAAAAATGTCCCTCAAAAATCTCTCTCTCTCTCTCTTAAAACATAATAGTCATTTTAACTCTGATCCAAAATAAATACCAATTTTAAACGTAATCTTAATATACAAAACCAGAAACCCTTCTGAAAATTATATTTATCCACTAATGATACATACTGATCAGACTAAACTGAAGGTTCACAGATGTATATAATATTACCCACTTACATAGCGTTACATACTTTTTAATAAAAATATATATACAAAAATACTTTCATGAAAAAAGCAATTACTAAAAAACTATTTTAAAATATAATTTTTAAACATATGAGCTAATATAGGGAAACTAATCCAAATAATAAGTATTTAATGAAAATCAACTGTCTATGTCAGAGATAAAGTTGATTATGACAACATGCAATATGAAGATTTTTCTTTTTAGGAGGAGATAAGGGGGACCGAAATCCACATTGTAATAAGATCAAGTTGAAACCTGGCCTGCCCCCCATCCTGTAAACAGTTATAAAGATACAGTGTATATGTTTTTCTAGGATCATGATCCTAGTGCCACCATCCCATGTCAAAAGGTACACCAACCATCCAAGGTGGAACAAGAACTCTAGCACTATATCTAGAAATTCCAACTCCTACCATTGGAAATAAAAAAATACTTGTTAGTTATAATCTGTAGAGTACTCCTTATATTCTAATTTTTAACTAATCAATAGACCAAAATATATGTAGTAATGAGTGACCATAGCCCCTGCTGAAATCAATGACATTGATTGCCATTGTGTTGGTACAAGAATGGGCTCTCAACTCTCTGCAGGAGGTATCATTAATAACTGTTTAATCACAAATTCTACTCTTTAAACATTTTTACATGTATATTTTCAAGGAAATTTAACTGCATGAAATACTTTAATAGACAATAACAAGGTATCTTTTAGCTAGAGGGAGGAAAAAATGGTTAAACAAAAGTCAATCATTTTTTTTCCAAATCAGAGCAATGTGGAGAGTCTGAATTTCCTTGGATGTTGCAGAAATATGGTCCTAAGTCTTTCTATTACATCTTGTAATTTTCGAGCCAAAAGAATTTTCTAAGCAGAAACTATGAGGGTTTAATAACAGAAGCTAGTTGCAACCTTAGCCATGGATGGATAATGACTGCACCAGAATATTTACGTGGAAAAATTAAATGGCCACTATATAAATACAAGTTTTGGAGAGAACATGATGCGTAAGTGGACTTTCAAGATGTGCCTGTGGAACAGACGGCAAAATCCTGTAACAACACAAAGGAGATACTTGTAAGTTGCCTTAAAATCAACCTTAAATGTTAAGAAATTTCTAAATTAGAGTGAAGCTTGTACATCAAAAGCAACAGCAGCATACAGAAATAAATGCTTTCTGGTCACTGAAAGGGACCCGGAGGCTACTGAAAACCACCTGGTTAACAGAAAGCTCTTCAGTCATTTAAAGTAAATCAGGAAACATCACAGATATATATGTATTTTAACTATTTTATTGAAAGATGAAGGGAGGAACACTTAACTCTCCTCTCCGAAACAGCTGAACGGTTTCAGGAGCCATAAAGAGAGGGGGTGTCATTCAGCAAAGTGTGTGCAGACAAGTGAATAGTTGTTTCACTATGATTGCTCATCTGCTGAAGAATTATGCGGGTGCTTGGGACGTTTTGTTGGACTGGGTCCTGGAGGTGAATCAGGCAAAGTTTGTGTTTAGTGAAGAGGCAACGGGCAAGGTCCTAGGCCTGCCCGCATGCCCAGTTCACTGCTAGGGTTGCCAACTGTGTTGGAATCTATTCCTGGAGGTTTCTGGAACACCGGGATGCCCGCGACACGCAAGGCGAACATGGTACATCAGTTACTGATTGCGGTGCGCAGATTTGATGCCAGGAAGCCAAATGCACATTACTATTACATTTTAAAAACCCCACTGGACTACTGTATCAATCGGATTCAATGTGCAATATTTATTTTAATGAACATCCTATCATTTATATCCTGGGTGATCCAGCAGTCTCCCGAAAATTTATCTCTCATCCTGGAGACTCCAGGCCAATCCTGGGGGGTTGGCAACCCCTATTCACTGTGTTAATGGGAACGGTCCCTTGTAGTTGTGAACAGGCTTGTGATGCTAGTGTGGCTCATGCTTGTAAGGTCCTTACAAGGCCTGTCAGGTTCAGATGGAGGTGAAATCAGAAGGAATTTGACCCCTGCTTTCTGCGGGGCGAGCTCAGCCATGGAGAAGCAGGGCCTGCCCAGGCAGTCAGTGCAGCGCCAAGCAGCCTGTCCACGAGGGCTGTGACACAGGCTGTTTCCGTGAAGTGAATCCAGAGGTAACCACAAAGAGAGGGGACAAGCCCCGCGTGTGATTTAGTCCCCGTCACCTCCGCGCACGGCTCTTTTAAGGGAGCCGGGGCTGCCAGGACAAAAGGGCCCGCGATCCTGCGGCCGAGGGTGGCGGCCTCCCCGGCACTGACACGTCCTCACGCCTTTAGCACGCCAGGCCCGTCTCGCCAGCGCAGCCCTCGGCCGGGGCCTCACCGCGGGAGCCC